GGGACTTAACTCCTAGGAGTCAAGCCCAGGAGTTCAAGGATGCAGTGAGCTAGGATGGACTCACTCCAACCTGGGTGATGAGACTCTGTCTTAAAAAAAAAAAAAAAAAAAAAAAAAGCCAGGCGCGGTGGCTCACGCCTGTAATCCCAGCACTCTGGGAGGCCGAGGTGGGTGGATGACGAGGTTGAGATCCAGACTATCCTGGCCAACATGGTGAAACCCCGTCTTTACTAAAAATACAGAAATTAGCCGGGCGTTTGGCACGCACCTGCAGTCCCAGCTACTTGGGAGGCTGAGGCAGAAGAATCGCTTAAACCCGGGAGGCGGAGGTTGCAGTGAGCCGAGATTGCGCCATTGCACTCCAGCCTGGGTAACGAGTGAAACTCCGTCTCAAAAAAAAAAAAAAAAAATTGTTTATGGTTCCATTTATCTCTTCTATTACATTATTGTTGATATCTTTTCAATAAAAATCTAGTGATTACCCTAGGGTTTACAACATATGTTGTAATTTACAACATATCTTCAAATAGCATTCTATTGCCAGTGCACAGGGCAAGGGCTTTAGAGCAGTGCAGTGCCAATTCCTCCCCCCACTTGTTCTGTTGCTTCACATAATTAATGAGTGAATTGATTTTTGGAACAGGGTCTGGCTCTGTCCCCCACACTGCAGTGCAGTGGGTCAGTGTGATCTCACCTCACTGCAGCCTCTGCCTCCCATGCTCAGGTGATCCTCCCAGTTCAGCCTCCTGAGTAGCTGGGACCTTAGGCACACACCACCAAGCCCAGCTAATTTTTGTATTCTTTGTAGAGACAGAGTTTTGCCATGTTGCCCAGGCTGGTCTTGAACTCATGAGTTCAAGTAATTCACCCACCTCAGCCTCCCAGTGTTGGGATTACAGGTGTGAGCCTCTGCGCCTGGCCTAATCTGTTCTTCAGTATGCTATAGATAAATTCCTATTTTTGCTTTAGTTTCTGTTGTTGTTTGAGACAGAGTCCTGCTCTGCCACGCAGGCTGGAGTGCAGTGGCATGATCTCGGCTCACTGCAACCTCTGCCTCCTGAGTTCAAATGATTCGCCTTCCTCAGCCTCCTGGGATTATAGGCACCTGCCACCATGCCTGGCTAATTTTCTTTTTTTTTTTTTTTAATTTTTAGAAAAGATGGGTTTTCACCATATTGGCCAGGCTGGTTTCGAACTCCTGACCTCAAGTGATCTAGCTATCTTGGCTTCCCAAAGTGCTAGGATTACAGGCGTGAGCCACTGTGCCTGGCCTTTGCTTTAGTTTTTTTAATTTATTCTGCCTGAATGAACTTCCTCTGTTGTTTTTGTTTATTTTGGATGAGAAATTATTTTTCTTTTCAAAAAAGAATTGTAATAGTCTTTATCTTTTTTTCTTTTTTGAGACAGTCTCGCTCTGTTGCCAGGCTGGAGTACAGTGGCGCGATCTCGGCTCACTGCAACCTTTGCCTCCCAGGTTCAAGCGATTCTCCTGCCTCAACCTCCTGAGTAGCTGGGACTACAGGTGTGTGCCACTATGCCCAGCTAATTTTTGCATTTTTAGTAGAGACAGGGTTTCACCATGTTGGCCAGATGGTCTCCATCCCCTGACCTCATGATCTGCCCACCTTGGACTCCCAAAGTGCTGGGATTACAGGTGTGAGCCACCACGTCAGGCCAACTTATCTTTTTAGAGCAGTTTTAGGCTCACAGAAAAGTTGAGCAGAAGGTGCAATGATTTTCCCACATACTCCCTGCCAGCCCACATGCACAGTCTCCCCCATTTTCGACACCCCACACCAGAGTGAACCTATATGGACACACCATTATTACCAACATCCATAGCTACATTAGAGGTCACTCTTGGTGTACATTCTAGGGGTTTGGAAAAATTTATAATAACGGGTTCACCATGATATTATTATTATTATTATTGCTTTTGAGGCGGAGTCTCACTCTGTTGCTCAGGCTGGAGTGTGATGGCATGACCTTGGCTCACTGCAACCTCCACCTCCACTGCAGTCACTGCAGGCTTGACTTCCCTAGTGCAAGTAATCATCCCACCTCAGCCTCCTGCCTAGCTGGGACCCACAGGCACATCATCACATCTGGCTAATTTTTTTTTTCTTTTTGTAGAGATGCGGTCTCTCTATGTGGTCCAGGCTGGTTTCGAGCTCCTAGACTTGAGCAATTCTCTCGCCTCAGCCTCCCAAAGTGCTGAGATTGCCACTTTGGTGGGTGAGCCATCACACCCAGCTTCAATATTCCCATTGATAATTTCGTTTTGTTCTGATTCTTGATCTGGTGGATAAAACTGACTTTGTTTCCTGAGGACATTTATAGAATCTTTCTTTGCTCCTAGAATCTTGCAATTTCACAATCATGTCGCTTTGGAGGGTATTTTACCCATTATGCTGGGCCCTCAGTGACCTCTTTCTGAAGATTTGTGTCCTTTAGTTCTGGGAAATTTTCTTGGGTTCTTTTTTCTTTCTTTCTTTCTTTTTTTTTTTTTCAAGATGGAGTTTCACCATGATGGTGAGGCTGGTCTTGAACTCCTGACCTCAGGTGATCCACCCACCTCAGCCTCCCAAAGTGCTAGGATTACAGGCGTGAGCCACCGCGCCCAGCTCTTTTTCTTTTTTTTTGAGACAGAGTCTCGCTCTGTCACCCAGGCTGGAATGCAGTGGCATGGTCTCAGCTCACTGCAACCTCCACCTCTTGGGTTCAAGGAGTTCTCATGCCTTAGTCAACCAAACAGCTAGAACTACAAGCATGCATCACCACACCTGGTTAATTTTTGTATTTTTTGTAGACACAGGGTTTCGTCTTGTTGGCCAGGCTAATCTTGAACTCCTGGGCTCAAGCAATCCACCCACCTTGGCCTCCCAAAGTACTGGGATTACAGGCATGAGCCACCGTGCTGGGCTTCCGTGGGAATCTTGTCAGCCTGATGAGGGTCCCGTCCCACCAGAGTAGTTTTACATTTGCTTTGGACCAGAGCTCTTTCCTAGAGCCATTTTTTTTTTAAATGACAATTTTTTTTTTCTTTTTTGCTACAAAGACGTATCCAATTAAATGACAATTTTTAGTGTAGGGGCATCTAGACTACCAGATAGGCTGAATTTGAACCCCATATTCATGTGAGGAACAGGCCCAGGGCTACAACTCCCAGGGAGATTTTATTTCCACAATCAGACTCCAGGCTGGGTCACACCAGCTTCCTTGTCACCTCTGTGAGCCATGGGCAGATTTTGTTTTCTGTTCATCTCTTTCATCCTAACTCCCTTTCACAGACCCAAGGCTTCACCTCCTGTCCGTATCTGAATGGAAAACTCAAGCCCTAGACACTGAGAGCAAAGCCCCTGGGGGCACACACTTCCTGGGCATCTCTGTCCCTCCCTCTTCATTGCTGGTCCCTGAAGATTCTCCTGGCTACTTGCGAGCTCAGCTATGAACATAAAAGACTGCCTGGCATGCTGGTGCTGTGTCTCTAGCATTTCCAGGTGGTTGGGTTGGGACCTGCCTCAGATTCCCCAGTCGCAGAGAATAGAAATCTCACACAAATGTTTTTAAAACTGAAGAGATTTTGGCCAGGTGAGGTGGCTCATGCCTGTAACCCCAGAACTTTGGGAGGCCGAGGAAGGTGGATCACTTGTCAGGAGTTCGAGACCAGCCTGGCCAAATGGCGAAATCCTGTCTCTACTAAAAATATAAAATTAGCCAGGCGTGGTGGTGGGCACCTGTAATTCCAGCTATTCAGGAGGCTGAGGAAGGAGAATCGCTTGAACCTTGGAGGTGAAGGCTGCAGTGAGCTGAGATTGCACCATTGCACTCCAGCCTGGGCTACAAGAGTGAAACTCCGCCTCAAAAACAAATAAACAACAAAAACTCAAGAGATGGCCGGGCGCAGTGGCTCACGCCTATAATCCCAGCACTTTGGGAGGCCGAGGCAGGTGGATCATGAGGTCAAGAGATTGAGACCATCCTGGTCAACAAGGTGAAACCCCGTCTCTACTAAAATACAAAAATTAGCTGGGCATGGTGGCGCACGCCTGTAGTCCCAGCTACTCGGGAGGCTGAGGCAGGAGAATTGCTTGAACCCGGGAGGCGGAGGTTGCAGTGAGCCGAGATCGTGCCATTGCACTCCAGTCTGGGTAACAACAGCGAAATTCTGTCTCAAAAAAAAAAAAAAAAAACACCTCAAGAGATTTCATGGCTGAGTGCAGTGGCTCAAACCCGTAATACCAGTACTTTGGGAGGTTGAGGGGGGTGGGTCACTTGAGGTCAGGAGTTCAAGACCAGCCTGGCCAACATGGTGAAACCCTGTCTTTGGCAAAAATATAAAAAATTAGCTGGGCTTGGTGGTGAGCACCTGTAATCCCAGCTACTAGGGAGGCTGAGGCAGTGGAATCACTTGAACCCAGGAGGTGGACGTTGCAGTGAGCTGGGATCTCGCCACTGCACTCCAGCCTGGGCAAGACTCCGTCTCAAAACAAACAAACGAACAACAACAACAACAATAACAAAAGAGATTCCACACAGAAACCTACATTTCTGGCTTCTTTTGCTGGAAAATTAAAAGAAAGCTACAGCCACTGTAACTCAGCCTCCGTGCAGGTCACATCCGTCCAGCTGCGCTGTCCGGGTGTCCAGGTCCCCACCACTCCTCATTGTCTGACGCTGGCTGGCCTTTCGGGCCCTCTCGTGTGCCACCCTGGCTTCTCTCGTCCCGCCTGGCTGGCTCCCCCTCCTACCCCAGCCCCTCCAGCCCTGCACAACCCTGCGGAGTCTTTCCCTGCCAGGAGGAGAGGCAGGTCCCGCGGAGCGCAGGGCGCCAGGGAGCGACTGTTGACCCAGCCGTGGGCAAACAAGGCGGTCAATTATTAACCGGCCGCGCGGCAGGCACCAGGAAACCCGAGCCCGCGGCGCAAGCCGAGCCGGCCCGACGGGAGGCGCAGGGCCAGGGAGTCGCGCAGCCTCTGCAGCTGCCGCGGGCTCGGGACATGGAGGCAGGAGCTGGAGGCGCAGGTGCCGGAGGGGCAGGTGCCGGAGGGGCAGGTGCCGGAGGGGCAGGTATGGCGGGGCAGATGCCTGCGGGGCAGGTGCAGGTGGGGCAGGTGCTGGGCGACCAGGTGCAGGCAGGGCAGGCGCAGGTGAGGTGAGTACTGGAGGGGCAGCTGCTGGAGGGGCAGCTGCTGGAGGGGCAGGTGCAGGCGGGTCCGGTGCTGGAGAGGGTGTAGGGAGTGTAGGGGGTAGATACCAGCAGGGCGGGTGCTGGAGGGGGTGTAGGGGGAAGATAGCGGGCGGGGCCGGTGCTGGAGGGGCGGGTGCTGGAGGGTAGGGGGAGATACCTGCGGGGTAGGTGCTGGAAGGGCAGGGATAGGCGTGGCGGGCCGAGGCCCTGAGTAGTGGTTCCCGGGAGGCCAGCGGCAGCAAGATGGGGGAGAATGCGAGGCCCACCCATGACACCCCACCTGAGCCAGGCTGGGGAGGGCCAGGAAGCTGTTGTGGAAAGTTTGGGAGCTCTGGGGACGCCCCTGTGAGCAAGTCAGCGAGAAGGCTGCGGCCCTTCATTTTCTGAGCATTTTGCCCCCTCCCGCCGGGTCCCCGCTCTGGTAGCTCCACTCACCGTCCTCGCCAGGCTGAAGTCCTCGCATCAGGGGAGTGGGCGACCCTGGCCAGTGTGGGGTGGAGACAGAGCCTGTAATGAGAGAGCTGGGGACAGGTACTGGGAGAATTTGCATGGGGCAGAGCTGGAGAGAGGTCCAGGCCAAGGCTTCGACCAACCCAACGTCCCTCACTCCCAGGAGCCAGGCACTGGAAGGTGCAGGGGGCAGGGAACCGAGACCTTGTCTCTGCCCTGAGAGTGTCCGGCTGGCAGGGGGCGGTGGGGCGGTGGCAGTGGGACCCCTGCACAGTCCCGCGCACTCCCGCCCCCCGCGTTCCCCAGCCCGGCTGATCTCCAGCGCCTGGGAATGGGGGCACCCTGTCTCATCTGCAAGCAGCTCCGGGAGAGGGGGCGCTGACCCCTCCCTCCAGCCCCGCTTCATAGTTTACTTAGGATTTCCCCCAGACCCTCAAGCACTTGCCCCGGCGGGCAGCCTGGACCCCACTTCCCAGCTGGAATGCCTGGGAGAGGCTCAGGTGTCAAAAGCCTGAGAACCTGAGAACCCACCTGAGGCCCCCAGGTAGCACCGCCAGCAGATTTATTTACTCTGCGGCCCTATCTCCGCGCCATCAGGCCAGGTATTTGCCCTGGCGGGATCCAGGGAAACTGCGGTTTTTGTTATGATAGCTGGGGCAGGGACAGCATCCCCGAGAGACAGAGACCTGTCTCGAGTGGAGAGCTGACTCACTGAGACCCAGGTTTTCTGCTGGGAGCCTCGGTTCCCTCATCTGTAAAATGGGGAGCATAAAAACAAAAGCGCGACCGAGGATGACCCGGTTTAAGGAAGCAAAGCTCTCAGCACAGAGCCTGGCCCCCATGTTCGCCCTTTTTTTTTTCTTTTGAGATGGAGTCTGGCACTGTCGTCCAGGCTGTAGTGCAGTGGCAAGATCTCGGCTCACTGCAACCTCCTCCTCCCAGGTTTAAGGGATTCTCCTCCCTCAGCCTACCAAGTAGCTGGGATTACAGGCACCCGCCACCACACGGGCCTGTTTTTGTATTTTTAGCAGAGATGGGGTTTCACTGTGTTGGCCAGGCTGGCCTGGAACTCCTGACCTTAAGTGATCCACCCACCTTGGCCTCCCAAAGTGCTGGGATTACATGTGTGAGCTACTGTGCCGGCCATGTTTGCCTCTTTAAAAATGATTATGACTGTGATTTCTCTTCACTTTACAGATGAGGAAATGGAGGCACAGAAAGTTTGTCACATGCCACCCCTCCCTTTTGGGGAGGACAGGGTCTCACTCTACAGCCCAGGCTGGAGTGCAGTGGTTCGATCACAGCTCACTGCCCCCTCCTGTGAGGAGGCCACTGCGTCTGGCCAAGTGTGTTTATCTTGACTTCATGGAGTATAGTTATAACGGCTGCTTTTTCTGAAAATTCCAATATCGGGTCATCTCAGGGTTGGCATCTGTTGACTGTCTTTTCCTTTGAGCATTGGTCACATTTCAACATTTGTATGGTAACGATCTGGGATCCTGGACATTGTGAATAGTATGTTGTGTAGATTCTTAGTCCTGTTAACAATTCCGCAGAGAAGGTGGGTTTGTTTGGTTTCAGCTGGCAATCAGGCTGGTTAGTTTCAGACCACAAGTTCTGTTTCACCCCCTATGAGTGGCATTTCCAAACTTGGGTCTGTTTTCAGAGTTTTTGTTAGGCTGGTCTGGGTTTGTCTCCTGCACCCGCAGTTCAGCGGGGAGCCCAAGACTTGTGTGAATTCATTCTAGGGAGTCCAATCATCCCAGTTTGGGACTAAGGAGTTTCCCAGGATGTGAGACTTTCAATAGTAAATCCGAGAAAGTCCTGGGCAGACAGTGATATAGTGGTCCCCCCAGGTCACAGATAGAATCAGGGACCCCCTTCTGTTTCTTCTAGGACTGCCCCCCTCTTCTCGCTCTGCAGAGAGTGTGGAGCCCTTTCCTTTCCTGGTCCATCTGGTTGGAATGACAGGGTTTCTTTTCTTTCTTCTTCTTCTTTTTTTTTTTTTTTCTTGAGATGAAGTCTCTCCTCGTTGTCCAAGCTGGAGCGCAGTGGCAGGATCTCAGCTGATTGCA